AACTGTCGCCAATTTGTTGTTCATGTATGGACCTACGATACCAGTAACCATGAAGGAGCCATGAAAAGTGATGAATTTGAAAAAGTAATTCGTGACGTTGGTTCCTTTAAAAGATGTTCTGAATTTCACTCTAGGATCTGTTGAAATGCACCATTGACTATTAATCGCTTGAAGGCCTTCAAATTCTTGAGAACTTATCATGTATTTATTCACAAATTTAGAACTTTAAGGCTGTTCATGAAAATTTTTTTTCTCAATGGAATTATTTTGACATGCTAAAATTTTCTATCAATATCTTAAAATTTATTTAACTCCGGTGTTACTCAATGGAATTATTTTGACATGCTAAAATTTTCTATCAATATCTTAAAATTTATTTAACTCCGGTGTTACTATTAGATCTCTTATTTTCTATCAATATCTTAAAATTTATTTAACTCCGGTGTTACTATTAGATCTCTTTTGGAATCTTTTTGTTGATATTTTACATCCAAAAAGAAAGAGTAATGAATCCTTGTAGAAAGGGAAGCTTGTACACAAAGGTTCATATAAATAAAAGGTGTTATTTTTTAAGAAGCACCTTCTCTCAATTAATTTGTTTATTTTCTTAAAACAAGTGGATTTAATAATGTAAAAAGGTTTTATGATGTAGTTAATTAGTTAGATTGACTAACAACTTAGTTCAGAAAATTCTTCTAATTTCTCCCTTTTGATATCATTTATTTGTAGTTTATATTTTTTTTGCAAATGTTCATTTTATATTGGAGATACCTACTCTTATAATTTTTGTGTAGAAGGAAAAAGGGAGATCGAAGTCATCAGATAAACTATAGAAGGGGAAAGAGAGATCGAAGTTGTTAGATAAATTTCAGCATTTTTAGGAGAGTGATTACGTTCTTATTAACTTATCTTTCTCTTTACTCTACAATATGGCATTTGACTGACAAATTTTATTGTTATTTTTAGTGCAGAGTCTTGATACTTAAAGAAGACTATGCATCTTTGGCATTTGCCTGTCTAGTGAAATGCTAAGTGATGTTGTTGAAGACACTGTACTAGAATCTGGAGGAGAGGTAACTTGAGAAGCACATTATAACGCAGAGTTGTGTTTAAAACTGGTATTCTTGTTCTTGCTTTTAGTCATATTGTATAAAATTATACAGAGCATGCGTGCTTCAATTCCTTTCTTGTCATTATAAAGAGGATTAAAACTATCAATTGTAAAATTACACTTTTATTTATATTTCCACCGAAAAGATTTGGAACAGAGTTAAAGGATATTACTTACTTACTAACATTAACAATTTGATACCTCATTTACGAGAAAATATTCATTTAAAAATAAGTGTAATAAATTATTTTGATTTATATTCTTGTGTACACTGAAAAATAAAAATCTGAAAAATCTTGAATACAAATTAATGAATCAATGTTACATGTTAAAATATAACTAAGTTTTAGGATACAATTATCCTTTTAATAGTGATATAAGATTTATAAAAAGCGGTGCTCCTTTTGGGTCTTCACTAGGCTATCATATGTTTGTTTAAACATGTGTATAAACTCCAAATTAGCTTAAAAGGATTCAATGGATAAATTAGAGTGAAATGCTAAACTAAATTATCAATTTAGCTAAATCTAAAAATTTATACCATGTGCATTGCACATGCAATTCACCTAGTATTTCTAATAAAGTAACTTTACATCGATACTTGAAGAGTTTTGTTAACTTCATTAGTGAGTCAAAAATTTTCTTTTTCCTCTTACATCACGACTTGTAACATTGTTAAATGCCATCTAATACCCAAAAGTTTAGGAGAATGACTTCTTCTTCTTCTTCTTTTATTATATGAAAAGGATGAAGCCTTCACAAGGAACCAACCTGCTAACGGTACCCAAAAATGGTTGTGCATAGTCATTCGTATACCCAACTCCAAAAATACAAATCAAAAGTTTTACAAAGTCTCAGAATATCTATCAGCACCATTTACATACACCAACAAGGAAAACAATAAACCTTCAACACACCAGAAAGCCCACAAGGAGAGCATATCTTCATACTATAGAAAATAACCTATCGGCCACCTCTCCCCACCGAGTCTGTAGCATGATTAAGCATTCTATCTGAATTAGAACCAGCATCTCCTACTGCAAATGCTTGGTTCCTTCTAGCCCTCCTAAAGTAGGTCATCGTACTTGCATTGATCAGAGTATTTCCTAGTCAACATAGTGAAAAGTGATCAATCCGCTGAAGAAGATTCAGTGCATGTCTTAATTTGAGATGCAAAATGCGAATGCTGCGTTTACGCCAAATGAGACTATAAAAGAGTACAACACCAAGCATCTCACACTTTACTCATTTTGAAGCTGGTATCACTCCCAATCTCCAAGAAGACCACAATTTCTGAACTGAATTAATCTCTCCTGAAACTGCTAATTTATATGGAGTAATATTCCACAAGGATGCAATGTAAGAACATTTCAGGACTAAAATGACTTATCTAACCTTGTTAGAGTAGCACACTGCTAGCTAATACATTTTTGAGATTTTTTAAAAAAAAAGACCTTTTTCACTAAATAATTAGCAAAACTGACTGTTTTGCTAATTATTTAGCAAAAAACAATCTCTTTTTGGCCAACGGACTAAAAAGAGATAGTTTTTAAAAAAACTACATATTAACATACGGGACTGCTAGTTCCGTATGTTTAGTAGCCATCAATTGGTGACTAATAATCACCCCAAAAATCTACAGGACTAGTAGTCACGAAGATTTTGGGCATGGGCTTATTTTTTTGGCTTGCAAATGAACCTCCTCATATATTTGTTTTCATACTTTTTGCTATTCATTTGTTCTCATATATGGCCATACATCACCTACAGGTTACAAATCGTATAAGAAGCTACAATTTCCCATATCTCAGCGTCATCTATGTTGGTTCTTGCAGGCAATGGACAGAGCATGCAGGTTGGGTTAGCATAAAGTTACCTTGGAAGAGAAACTCATGACACTAGTAGAAAATCTCATATCCTAAATGGAATATCCTCGACAGAAAATTTTCCTTCTTGTTTGCTATTAAACTAGATGGAAAATTTTCGTCTAGGATATTCCATCTAGGAAAAAGTATCCTAGATGGAAATTTTCGTCTATTATAGCAAAGTAGACGGTTTTAGTATTTTTATTTGTTATTTTTAAATGGGGCTAGCATTCTAGATGAAAATTTCGTCTACAATTATTTTTATCTTTGAATGAATATTTTTGTGTTCATGTTATGTTTTCTTAAATAATTTATGTTGGATATGAATATAATTTGGTGTTGTGCAATATTGTGCACATGCATATATGATATTATACACCGCACAAAGTAGTTTCTGCAAAAAAAAACTATTGTATCATCCTAGACAAAAATTCCGTCTAGGATACTATCCTAGACGGAATAGTATCCTAGACGGAAATTCCGTCGAGGATACTATCCTAGACGGAATAGTATCCTAGACGGAAATTCCGTCGAGGATGCTTATTTGTGTCCTAGACAGAAATTCCGTCTAGGATACTATCCTAGACGGAATTTTCGTCTAGGATACTATCCTAGACGGTTCTTTTTTCTGTCTAAAATTATTCTAGACGGTATTTTGTTCCGTTTAGGATACATTTTTGTCTAAGATAGTATCCTAGACGGAATTCCTTCTAGGATAATGCATTCTCGATGGATACAAAGTAGACCAACATCCTAGACGGAATTCCGTCTAGAATGTCCAATTTAGATGAAAATTTAGCTATCATAGACGGAAAATTTCGTCTAGGATGCTTGATTTTCTACTAGTGTGAGTCTGCAGAAGCTACAATTTCCCATATGCTATTTTATTAAAAGAAAAGTTTTAATTTACACTCATTGTTTAAAATGCAGAGATAATAACATGTTTAATAACCTCACATTTGTTATCTTCCAACTATCAAGCATGCTTCCTCTTCCAACGAGAATCCAACAGAAGATTCAAGCATCGGTGAAGCTCACGCCCAAAATCTAGGGACTAGTAGTCCTGTAGGTTTTTTGGGTGATTATTAGTCGCCAATTAATAGCGACTAAACATACGGGACTAGCAATCTCGTATGTTTCGAATACACAGTTTTTTTAAAAATGACATCTTTTTGGTCTGTTGTAAAAAAAAGATCGTTTTTGCTAAATAATTAACAAAACGGTCGGTTTTGCTAATTATTTAGTAAAAAATGTCTCTAAAAAAAAGTGTGACAGCTTTTCTCGTATTTGAGGGTTTCCCTTCTTTAAACCATATTTTAAGCAACAGATGGTGGTTATAGAAAAGCCTAGTCGATTCATTCGCCTTAGTGGATATCGTACGAGCAAATTATCAAAATCCCACTACCAATAACGTCCTTTCTATAATTATAGATCTATCTACTTTAGCTATAAAAATTAAGCTAGTTCAAGCTTTAATTTTTGAACACTACTGAAGACCTTTTTTTGGTTGTACACATAAATTACTAAAAAGGGTAAGCTAGTTTGTTAAAACAAGCTATAATATTTCCTTCTTTTTCGATAGGAGGTTGTCAATTTGAACTTAATTTCTCAATAGACAAGTGGATAAATTCGAATTTATAATATGCGTGGCATATATTACGTAGATTGGTGTTGTGACTATTCAAATCCATGATGTATGAGATCCTTATATTATCAGCTAACTAGCATTGTTATACGTGCAAATGCAGGTAAGAGATATTAGAAACTAGTCTTTCACTTTGGGAGTGCATCTCATCTTAACCTTTTTGTGACACCAAGTCCATACTTAAACTTTAGTGAATGCCAGACGCTCCTAATAACAGTAGTTACCAAATATTCATTCCATCTACGGAGAAAACCTCTACAGACGGCTTTTATAACCTGAACCATACTTTTCCCTCTTAAAGGATATATAGGCTGCTTTCTTTAGCCAAAGAACTCATAAAGTCTTGTGTAAAAAATGCAAACCATAAGCTTGAGGCCCAACACTTTTTTTTTTTTTACTTTTTAAACGCAAGTACACTCACATAGTCACACGTACATTCCAACTTCCAATTTCCACAAGGCACCAACATGAACACTCATGACCATCACTCCACACTACACAAACCCACAGAAACAAACATAATCATCACACATTCTACACGTTAGTTACATAATAGAGCATGCGTTGACGTCATCATCATTGAACATGTTGCTGACCCTGTCCTCACCGCGGTGGGACGCGTGCATGTGCCCGTGCAGATCACCGTTGTACCCGTGCCTCCAGTAATTGTAGCTGTCCCTGAACGATTCCTCGTCTCTGAAGTAGTTCTCCTTCGAGGTGAAGTACAGGGGGAGGTCAGGATTTGGCCAGAATTCTGCTTTTTTGCCGCTCCTACGCACCTCTTTGAGCACTTTGTTGCGGTCGACGTACCCAGTTACGGTCACTTTCTCCTTTTCCAGCTCCACTTCCACGGAATCAACGCCTACAACAAGAAATTTGGAAGTTTTGTTACTGGATCGAATTGATCTTGTTGTGTAAAAATAGTACGAAGATGGATGAATACCTCTGAGCTTTTGGATGGCATTTCTGACAACCCTCTCGCAGCCAGTGCAACACATCCTCACCTTCAACTCTACAATCTAAATCAAAATAATAAATTAAGATGGCAGATAAATTGAAAAAAAGTCATGAGTAGGAAAACTTGTTATTTAACGTAATTTTAAGCAAGTGTACTATTTCATATCACAAAAGATTAGTTGCTATTGTGTTTTATTTTATTTTATAAACCTACGACAAAAGATGTATATGAATAAAAATTTGATCAAGCTTATAACTTGTATTATTGTAATATTTTTGTGTGCAGTGTGATTTCATAAATGAGTGAACCCGACTTGGAACCTGTTTTTCTAGCTCGAAATAGTACACTTCATGTTATTAGTAATTATCCAACTAATTAAGTCATAAGCAAATTAACTTCGATATTACACAAGGCATATTTAACGATAGGGATTTCATGGCATTCATAGTTATCCGATTAAGCCTTTATTCTACGCTAATCCTGAACTCCAAAAAACATTAATATTATTCCAGTCTGGTTAAGGTGTCACGTGAGAATCACCCGTTATTCTACCATAATTCTGTACCCCAAAAAACATTATTGCTCCTGTTTGATTGAGATGTTATGTGAGAATCAAGGGACACTAAATCATCTTTTTCTCCAAATCAAGCATAAGAAAGTAACACTATCCGAGACCGTCGAGTTAATGTAAATGCTAATAAAATAAATTAAAGAGCATAAATTGCTACATCACCATAGTACACGATGTGCATCCGTAAGTAACTAAAATAAAAAGGATACCTGCAAAGAGAGAGGCCTACCCCTTCCCATGTTCTTGTTGTTGCTGTAGTTTGCTTCAAAAAAATAAGTATCCGGTGTATTGTGATTGCTGGTATAATAGTAAGCCTTGCTGCTGTTGCTGCTCCTGTGATGGTTGCTCGTCGGATAACGTACAGAATAGTATATAGTGGAGAAAAAGGAATCGATAGCTCTCCCAACTGCTGCTGCCATCGCTTGCTTTAAAAGGAGTACAGGTTGCTACTTTGGACGACGAGAAAAGCTTCATATTAAGAAGGCTGACAGGCAAAGGAATCGCTTCCCTGGAGTTATTCCATGATTCCTTACCCTTAGCTTGCTCTCTAGTCTTGAAATGGTTTAAACTTTAGGACTAGGGGAAATGGAATCTTAATTATTAAATTATCCACTGCTTTCGTGGTAGAATTGTGGGCGGAGAGGTATCCCTCACGAGGGAAAACTTGAGGAAAGGAACTTTGTGGTGGTGTTGTTGAGGGGAGAGGAGGAATAATATTTATTTTAGAGGGGATTAGGATAAAGTAAAAGAGGGTAAAGGATGGATGCTATGGTAGATGATATTCTGAAATCATCTCCTTTTCTCCTTGATCGAAGACAGTGAGCACATATATTATATCGTGATCCTTACAGCAAAGTTATTCGATCTAAGTATGAAACACTATTACTTTGTTTGGAATCAATAAAACAATTTTCAATCACTATTTTCAGAGTACTAGTACAGTGCACGGGCATTGCACGTTGTTGGATTAATTTTATGTTTATCTTTTTTTTATAATAAGTTTGGTGTTAGGCGTAATTTGAGGATTTTTATGCCGGGAATTCATATGTGAGCATAACGTCAAATTGGAATAACTAAATTAAAGTTTAGAATCAATACCTAGTAGCTATAACTTTAGGCTTAATTTGCTTCTCAATTCTCCATTTAAGACTCATTTTATCTCCTCAATAGACTCGATTTCTTCCGAAGATGTTGTATCATAGCCAAGTTGTATCAAAGGAATCCATAGCAAAATGATTTGGCAGATTATCTTATATTTGATAATCAATCTAAGTTGGAAATTTGTCGTGATATGTCTTGAATCCTCACTGGACATACTTCAAATATCTAACAAGTGATAGACATCTCTTAAGCATTTTTATAAAAGTGATAAAATTGTTCTATCCATGCTTTTGAGTTGTGTTGCGCTCCATTTGCGCAACACGTGTGTGGGGAGATGACAAAATATGTATCACAGAATACAACTTTTGTTATAGTACACAATAAGTTCTCTAAGTTTACTTAAATATGTGCGTTTGTGACTTTTACTCTTTTTTTTTTATCTCAAGGTTCTTTTTTAGATGCACAGGATGATCAATATTAAACTATGAATGTTTTTTTGTTAGAACAAGTGTACAATTGAGCAAAAATAATTGCGAAGAATAAGCATTAAAAATAAACGAGTAATAATCGCAAACACATATATTTACATGGTTCACCCAATTTGGGCTACGTTCACGGCAGATACAGCGAAGAAATTTCACCATCAAAGGAGAAAATACAATAGAGAACTCAAAGTTCAACTCTCACTCTCTCTCTTAACTCTCATAAACCCTCTTTGACCTTTTTAAGAAAAACCAGTAACGGCTGTTAAAAAGATCTTTTGATGAAATAATACTTTCACTTAACCCTCAGTCTCAGTCTAATCATGGCCGTCCATTCTTAGATAATAGCTGTCCTCTTTGATCCGAGTCCGAGTCCGAGTCCGAGTCCGATTGAGGCTGCCTGAAGGAACGAATTAATTATGCTAAGAGCCCAAAGCTTAATATGACTACACTAATCGCCTCATATGCCATTGTCCAATGAAATTTAAGTCCCTCTGCTAGCAAACAAATGAGGTACAGGAATTTACAATAGAGAGGAATTGTTAACGGGGTTTTGAGGCGTAAGTTTTTACGGTTTTGTACTTCGTCCTACCCAAAATAGTCCTCCTTAGCGTCAGGGCAGGAGAAAATGGAGCAGGTAGGGCTTAAAACGTACTTTTTAGTTTGGGTTTGGGGCTTGGCCCAATACAGACTAGACGCCACATATGTAGGTCTGGTCCAGTCTTTTTGTTCAAGTTAACAAAGTCTTTTTAGTATTCCCACATTTGTAGGTCTAGTCTTCATATGTTTATTTTATTTTATTTCAATTTTTAGGGATAGTCTTCATACGTTTAACTTTGTAGCTTTTTTTTTGAATTTTCTTTTCTTTTTGTTGTAACTAGTAATATGTTCCTTGTGGCACGTTATTTGATTTATTTCTTTTACTCTGAATTTTAATTTATAGCATAGTAGTAGATAAATTCCTGTAGTTAATAAATTTCTTGGAAATCTTGTTTTGTTGTTCATAAAGAAAACACAAGGTAGATGACTATCGAATGTCATTGAGGGATTCCTTCATATACAACTTTGAAAATGTTATATTGATAGTTGACAATCCTACTAAAATTTCTCTGAGAAGGCCCATGGACCGAGACCAAATTCGACCGTATAAGTGACTTGAGGCCGGCCGAGCCGTAGCCAAGCGATAAGTTTGCCAATGGGCTCCAACAACACTGTCCGCTATCTTTTCTTTTACCAAGGGAAAAGGCCCATCCACACTTACCCCTGTTTAATTGAAAATTAGGGTTCGCGCCAGTCATGTTACGGCAATTTGGGGGCGCTTTTAGTCACGAGACTACAACCTACAATCGCAAATCCAACCATCTCAATATGCTATGGTTATAGCTTTCTAGAACTTTATCTTAATTTTGAGGCTTATATCTCAAACTTTTCTCTAATGTTCGTTCATTTTTCATTAAGATGCAAAAAGGGTTATTGACTTTAAACTGCGAACTGATGAGAACCATATGTTGCGGTGCATCTCTCCTCTAGATTCGATCTTCACTTACATTAGTCCTGCAGTCCCTATGCTCTATTTATTTCTTGGCCGGTGCATTAATTTATATTTAGGGATTTTTACTTGCAAAAACCTCGCAGATTATATATGGGTGTTATTTTGCCTCTAATTCGCTTTTTCTTCCGCATATCTTATTGACTTGATTAGATTATTTTAAAATTTACCACACTTTTTTTTTGTTGCGAAAAAGGATGGGACCAAAGATCCCATCTTTAAATACGTTTAGTTAATTTGATCATGGCAGTTTAATGAAATAAGTTTGTAATGTTTTTCTCCAATAAAAATATTTTATGATATATTTTTTCCCACAGAACCGATAATAGTTTATGGTAATTTTGATAATCTTATCCTTTGAAATTTTTATGTGAAAATGATAGATAATAAAAAAAACATATAGGCTTGTCTTTGTTGAATTATGAGAGTGGCTTACCACTTGTTAAATTGAGAAGAGTGGTTGACACCAAGAAATATTTTGTTATTTTTTCTTTAGTAGTATAACACTCAATACTCTCTCTAATATAAAAACTCTCTCTATTACAAACTATTACACTACCACACTCTTTTACAACACACTACTCTTTCTCTTATTCTCTCTCCCTCTCTTTATTTCTTTGTTTGTTTTTTTCTCTTGAAACTGTGAAGCGTTACAACCGAGCTTGAGGGGATTTATATAGACTAAGCTATATGGTTGGTGTACACTATACTAGGGTAAGTGGTTACTATATAGTTGGTGGCTTGATAGGTGGAACTCTTGGTAGGTGAGAGAGAAGTGTTGTTGATTTTAACACACACATTCAGCAGCAACTTCTCTATCCATGAGTCCAAGAGATGTAACCTCTTTTTCAATGCTTGAATATTTTCTCTCACTACTTGTCTCCATTCTCCACTCCTGTATGCTTTTTTGAAGGTTGGTGGTTCCTTGACATCTTCCGTAGTGGCGACATTAGTATACTTGGGATTTAGTATCCTAGGTTTGGTCGACCTATGAAGCTGTCTTGCTGGCTTTTCTTCGATATCCTCCATCTGGTCGAGCGCTTCTCTTTTGATGTTATTATTGAAACACGGTCTTTCATGGATTCTTTTCTTCGGAGATGTGGGAGAATGTGGTTCTATCTTCTTTGACTAATGTGACTCTTCTTCTTGATTTGGCTCCCCCAACTTCTTCTGTAATTGATCCTCTAGATCATTAGAGTCTGGGACCACAACTTCTCGTGGAGTCCATCAAGACAAGGCTTCATCAAAAACTATCTTCCTCGATGTGTAGTATCGTCTAGTTGTGGGATCACAACATCTCCATCCTTTTCTGTTATTGTCATACCTAACAAAAATGCATCTCACAGCCTTCTTGTCGAACTTGATACGGAGGTGATCAGGCACAAATACATAACACACATAACCAAACACTCTAAAATGACTTACTGTTGGTTTGATTTTTCATAGCTTCTGAAAGGGTGACATGAACTCTAGTTTTGATTGTGATAACCGAATGATCACATGTGCCACTGTCTTTATACACTCCATCTAAAAACATCCTGACACATTCTTGACATGAAGCATGCTTCTGCAAATTTTGGCCAGATGACAATTCTTCCTTTTTGCTACGCTATTCTGCTGTAGAGTATTTGGGCGTATTAGCTATCGTCGACTCTTGTGCTGCTTTAGGCAGTCGTTGAACTCATGTGATGTGTACTCTCCATCGTTGTCTGTGCGTAGGCAACAAATCTTCTTTCTGAGTTCTCCTTCGACTTCTTTTCAGAATTGCTTGAATTTGAAGAGTGCTTCATACTTTTCCTTTATAAAATAAACCTAGACATACCTCAAATAATCATTGATGAAAGTGATCATGTATTGCATCCCACTGATTGATTCTTGCTTCACTCGACCGAATACATCTGAGTGTACAAGCTTCAAAGGTTCGTTGGCTCTGAACTGTGACTCCTGGTATAGTAATTGATGCTCTTTATTATACTTACAACCTCCGCATATGGTCCCTCCTAGAATATTCAAGTGTGGGAGACCCTTTAACATTGATTTATCTGTCATGTGATAGCTCACATAGCCAAGCCGAGCATGCCACAGATCAGTTGTCTCATTATTCCTAGATTTATCTATATATGTCAATTCTACTGACATCACATAGATAGAATCTACCTTACATCTCTCTATAACAAGTTCTCCTGAGGGCTTCAAGTTATTGTAGATTTTAACATCTTGTGGCCCGAATACCACATAATTTTTGGAAGCTATCAATTAGGAAACAGATAGAAGGTTATTTTTCATACCTGAGACATGGTATACATCATGTAGTTTCACCCATTAGGGCTATAACGCGGTGTAGACGGTCTTTTCGATATGTGTGTTAGACAATCTTGAATTGTTCTCTATCACAACTTCTCGGCTACCTCTATACTCCTTCATGTTGACGAGCTTTTCCTTATCTCTCATCATATGATTGGAATAGCCAGAATCGATGATCCAATCTTTAATGTAGTTGATTTCTTCTCGATCTAAAATCACTGCAAGTGCGGACTTAGATTCCTCCACAATCGAGGTTAGTGTCATATCAACACCTCTTCTTTGTCAACTGATACATCTTCAATGATGGTTATGAATGCTTGGATATCCCATTCTTCTTCATCATATTGACATCTGTGCGATATTGCAACATTGCCCTCTGCCGGTCTCAAATCGTGGATGATTATTCTTCCCATCCTTTTATCGAACACTTTAGAATATGGATCTAGCTGAGCAATATCTAAACGAAAGTGTTTAGCTTGCTTAAAGTACCGACTAACTGTCAGATCCCTCTGTTGCAAGGTCATCAACTGATTCTCAAGGAGTTAAAATCGAGCATTGTTCTTCATTGAGAATAGTGCCATGAACATATCCCATGCCTCCTTCGGAGTTTTAGCATCCCTAGTATAGTCCACACGATCTTTTTCTACAGTGGTCTTAAGCACATACATGTCTTTGCTGGCTTTAATATTCCACTTCCTTAGTGCTTCGCCAGCTTTCCGAGGTGTTGTAGTTTCGGCAACCCGACAACACCCAAAGGTCCTGTCCTTGCAAACAAAACTTCATATAAGTCTCCCAGTAATTATAGTTATTGTCAATGAGTTTCTTGAGGGTAGTAGTGGTATTTGCTAGATTCGGCATCATGACAAGTTCTTGCTTCAGAATCTCCGCACAAGTCTGATCCCCGATCAACTAACTTCATAATTCCAAATTGAGCACGAACTTTGGCTTTCAATAACGTTGATAGGATCACAATAAGACAGAGCTAGTCTCTGACTGCCTGCTCTGATATCAATTGTTGAATTATGAGAGTGGCTATACGATTTGTTGAATTGAGAAGAGAGGTTGACACTAAGAAATATTTTGTTATTATTTTTTTAATAGTACAACACTCAATACTCTCTATTGCAAACTAGTATACTATTACACCCTTTTACAACATGCTACTTTTTCTCTTATTCTCTCTCCCTCTCTCTCTATTTATTTCTTTATTTTTCTCTCTTTATACTGGGATGCATTACAACTGGGCTTGAGGGGATTTATATAGAGTAGACTAAGCTATGTGGTTAGTGTGCACTATACTAAGATATGTGGTTACTATATGGAGAGTGGCTTGGTAGGTGGAGGAGCTCTTGGTAGGTGAGAGAGAAGTGTTGCTGATTTTAACCGTCTTTTATTACGAGGATAGCACATATCTTAGTACTTAATGTATTTGATGCATTTGTGTATTCACACAAATTTGATATTATGTTGGATGTGGTATTCATATTTGAATCATATATGAAACTGAAATATGAGGATATTTCATTCTGAATTGACAGTTAAAGAATTTTAAGCTCTAGCGCTCCCCTACCATACATCCTTGTAATATATTTTTGTTTAAAATATATTCTGAGTGGGGCTACTCGCCCTACTTTCACCTTTTAAAGAAAAGATGCGAAAACTGGAATGAAGCAAATTAGTCATATTCTAATGCAGCGCCACAATATTTCATCATACTTGTTTTAATCAATTATTCTTAACCTCAATTTCAAGAAAGCTCAGGCTCATGGCTTTTTATGATTATTTACAGGAAATGGCTTAGGCTTCGAGTTGGTATCAAGAAATAACTGAACACATCTGTTTAAGAAGGAAGCATTTCTTTACTTATATACATACACTGTGGACATGAATTAATTCAAGTACAACATCAATGGAAACAGTTTCTTCTTCCATGACTTGCTAAATTTGTAATTAAATTTTGCAGAGCGTGGAGCTTCTTTCTCTTTCTTCACATCTGTTTCAGTCTCATTCTCTGTTTTGGGGCAAACAGTCTCTGTTTCACTCCAGAAGCGAGCTTCTCTTCTCTTCTTCCTTATGGTGGCAAGCACATCATATTTGTTGCATATCCCCCATACGGTCACCTTTTGAAGGTTGTAGTCAACGTCTACAGAATGTATTCCTGCATAATGTCTAGGTCCCGTTAGTTCTGAGCATAAAACCTTTGCTTTCTCAAAAAAATGAATACTTAGCATTTTCTTCATTAATTTCCTGATTCTCCCCTGACTTTAGGTGAATAAAATTTTTTAACATAGGAAAGATTGTTGTTTAGATGCATGCTGCCACATTAATCCAGATCATCATACCATATTGTTATACATGTATGGTTCATGATAAGTCAGTTTTCTGACTTTTTCAGTCCTCAATTAGTGTGTTATCGGATGTAGAAGCTCCTCGAACCTAAGCTCGTTAATAGCGAGCTTATCTCAAGAAGTCTTATTCATGAACAGATCAGATGGATAGAGGATGAGTAATGCTTACTTATAGTTTTATCATCCTTAACTTTTTGTTTTATTTGCTCTGGTGGAAGGTTGTTTTGGCTACCTCTTTTGATGAATTTGGTATGAGAGGGATATCCTTACCCATGTCTCCTATAAGAACAACTGTTTTCTATTATATACGTCAACTTTTTTAGACTTGGAGACATTCTATTTTTGTACATGTTCAAATATAAAAATTTTGTGGCAAGCAAGATTCGAATCTGGGATGCTCTGATGTTATTTTAAAGTTCATCTAATCAATATATTAAAACTCCAAAGTTTATATTTTCATATTCTGACATGCCCCCAGGTTTTAGCCGATTGGACTTCAAAATTTTGATATAGTGGTTATAGGGACTTTAATAAAGTATCAGTGAAACCCATATTCGAATCTTGTTGCCCACGAATTTAATGCGGATTTTAAAAAAAATTATTATTTTTCAGCCCATAAAAAGGACCATCAACCTGCAGAGACATGTTAGAATTAATATAAAATTATAATTCTCGATTCTCACCATAACTTTAGAGTTTTAGTGTAATAGTTAGAGTGACTTGATTTAAGAGAACCTACAGATGTCTCCTTTAGACTTTTATTAACGAAATGTGGATAGTTTACGCGCTCAATAGTTCCCAAAATATGAATGGGTAATCTGTGCTAATATCTAGCTTATTCTGTCCTATTTCTGCATAAATTTTTCTATAACACGCCACATAAAGCAATCAATTAATTGGAACACAATGGGAATGAAGGCACTTACCTCTCAAATGCGACAAAGCCTTCTTAACCTTCTTCTCGCATCCATAAGAGTAGAGTGGCACCATCATCTCCACATGCTGAGCCTCTACGTTCTCTCTCGCAGGAACTATTTGCAGGTTTGCCATCAGAATTTCAGTTTTCAGCGGCTATCGACTCTGAGAGTTCTACAACATCCTAATGAGGCATTCAGGTATTTATCAACCTCCATCAGTGAATTTCCTAATAAAGATAAGTCATAGGCTTGCGTGGCTTGTTGGCTGCTACATTGACATTTTACTTTACCAATATATATCTCCTTGTTCTCCTTTTTTGCATTGCTGACTGTAGACAGTTTCTTTTGTTAGTTTAGTTGTGTTGATTTGGCATATTCCTGTGGTTAAATTTGAAGATTGTGGGATGTATCATCATCAATCTTGACTTGTTTAGGTTTCCATTAACTTTGTCAAGAGGATAAAGCATTCGGCGGCCACGTGAGCTGTGGTGTAAAGAGAGTTTGGGCTTCTAAAGTTAAATGAAGCATAAGTTTTGAACATGAAAGTGGTGTAAGCGTTTGGCAAAGTTTGAAGGGGACACACATGTTTATATCTTTGGATAAGAGAAGTGGCATCAATAGCCACATGGTTGGGCCATGACGCTTTCTTTTGCGTCTGTGTACGTGGCAGAGCTTTCTAGACCTCATTTGGCTTTGCAGTTAAGTTTTCTTGATAGTTAAAAGTTTTTGAATGTAGTAGAAGAAATGTTAAATTGAGATCATTTGGTTTTGTCATGGTGTATCATCATTTGCGCAACCATGTGAATGTAAACGTATTTCATTGTAAATCTAGCGAGTATCATTCCACACGTAATTAAAGACTTTTACTTTTCATCTGGAACTCATGGAAACCAAATAGATACAAGTAAGGGTGCAAAAGGTGACTTGGATATGATATTTATCATACCCACATTCACTTAATAATCACGGATATAGATGTGACTTGAAAAGGAAAATTTATATTCATATCCACTAAAATTAGATTTGGATCATACGTGCAGATACAAAACAAATATGAGAAAACCATATAATACTAAAAAGAATATAACTCATATGATATAAGAGAGTTCATTAATATGTTCCTTATATCCAAATTAAAAGCTAATATTCGATCTCTTGATCATCAAAATCAACATCAAATCTATGTATCTAAAGATTAGGACAATTTGTGTAGCTAACATATATTCAGATATTTTGGGTATGGATCTAAATATGTCACTACATATTCGTGTATATAATCATATCCTATCGGATATGGATATTAGTAACCATACCGCATCCTAACGAAAATGAATAGGGATAAGTACTTAGCTATGGTTTTTTTTTTCACTCGAGATACAA